CCATATACAGAGACTTATATGCCATTTTGAGGTTACAGAAAGAATAGGGGCTTAGATTCTGGTGAAACAGGCTATGGGAGGAGGAGAGGCTTGGCTAGTGAAAATGACCCTGTTATGTAGATGAAGCCTCCCTCAGAGACACTTATAAAGGTGTGGATTCTCAATCTCTCCTGGATGTGGGGAAAGACCTGGAAAGGGGAAGGGGCCTGGTTGCATTAATGGAGATTCTCTACAGATGCAAATTTTCCCACTGAAGACACTCTGCCAGCCACTTTTTTCAGGATGGGCAAGTGGCAGCCATTTAAGAATATGTCAAAGAAATGTATGTTGGGGATAAAATATTTTCATCTCCTTCCCTTGCTTAGGGCCATGAAGCTAATGAGTGCTGGAGGACTCAGAAATGTGTGCCTCTCTCAAAGGAGAGACTGTCTTTGTGTGGAGCCGAGGTTCCTACCCTGTAAGGCTCAGGACCCAGCCCAGTAAGCTGGAAGAGCCTCCCTTTGCTGCAGTGGGCCCTGAGCCACCTCCCTCAGCCTTGTTTGCTGACCCCCCTGCCCTCCTCTGAGATGCCATGCCCCATTCTCTGCCCCAGCTGTTCACCCCACAAGCCCATCTTCCCCTTTACCCCTTCACTTTCCCATCTGCAGTCTAGGACTCTTCTTTACTTTCCTCCTGGTTTGTCTCCTCTGAGCAACTGCCCCCAGCTGATGCCATTCAATCATGGCTGGAGACACTCAACCATAGTTGTGTCCTGTAAATAAGCAGGCATGCAGGGGAAAAGCACTCATGAAGGCCAGCGAGGGAGAACCATGCTTTTCAAGTAGTATTACCCAGAGTCCTAGGAGATGAGGCTCTCTGCCACCATCTCACTGTTAACCATGGCAATCCCCTTTAATCTGTTTTACATATATTTTCTATTTGAGCAAAGAGTTCCACAGTTAAGAAAATTTCAAACCCATTGGAGGTCAATATTCTTGTTGTACAGATGGGAAAATTAAGGCCCAGAGAGGAGAAGGCATGCAGCTAAGCACCCCAGAACTCTTTAGGAAGCATCTTCTATGAATAAGTAACCACTGCCTGACTTACGGGAAATTCCACTTCTAAGTATTCCTACTACGTATGGCAAAATGAACTTCTTCCCCACACGCTATAGGAGACTGGAAGTAAATGTAAATCATGCCGTGTCGTGAATCAGAAGTCACAAACTGGAGCCTCACTGTCTAGTGGACTAGGAGGGGTCCCCAAACACTGGTGGGACTTTGACCCTAGCTGATGTCCAGGCTCTTGACTCCTTGAATTCCTTCTCATACAAGTCAGAAAATAGTGAAAGTACACACTCAAGAAGGGAGAGTGTGCAAGGGAGTTGGGAGCTGCTGCCTTGATGGGTTTCTTTAACCAAGGGGTGGAATATCCAAGAAGATTCCTGGAAAAATGTGGAACTTTCTTGAAACTGTGGTGCCGCCCATTTTTACGTCACATATTGGTGTTCTGGAACTGTCACGGTGCTGTGGGTGTGTGACTTAGCATCCCAGAGAGTTGCCTGGTTAATGAGTGAGGAGAAACCTAGGTCGAATCCAGCACCATGTTGGGTTCAGTTGGTCTTAGCCAGCTTGGCCACGCTCTGATTTTTTAGAGTCTTATGACCCCTAGCTTCTTATAACTCCTATTTCAAGAGTTTCCTTTTGATGGTCATGTGAAATGGCTGCCTAGAATTTTCTATTCTCCTGCAACCATCTGTATTATTCCTGTATCACCACTAGGTGTATCTCTCTTACAAAGGTGTTTGGTTTATTTATAAATATATTTAAATATAAAATATTACATTAAATATATGTTGTTTTAATTGGATTATGTATTTCATGAGACTTGGTCTGGGTTATGCTGCAGTAACAAATCCCTGATACACCAGTGGCTTGTCACGGCAGAGGTTTATTTCTCTTTCTCAGTCTATATCCAGTGTGGGTTGGCAGACGGTTCTGGTCCACAGTCACTCAGAGACCCAGGCTGACCATCGAGTAGCTGCACGGTTGAAACATGTGGCTTTCTGGGCCATCATGGCAGAGACAAGAGAACTGCAGGGTTGCACTGGCATAAAGCTGCTGGCCTGGAAGGGACCCACACACTTGTTCGCAGCTCAGTGGTCAGAATGAGGCCCATGGCCCCAGCCAGCTGCAGAGGGCCAGGGTGGTGAGCGACCACATGGGCATTCCAGGGACAGTGCATGCCTCTGCCAGCCATCTACCTTTCAGTAGTGAAATATAGCCCAGAAAAATCCAGATTCCTGGCTTCTTATGAAACGCCAAAAGAGTTGCCACGTCGCAGAAGGAACGTGCCCCCCATTCCCCATGGACCCCGTGACGAGAATCCCTCAGTGGAGTCACCTCCATGGCCGTTGGAGACTTTTATATTATTTATTCCTGCTGTATGTGCACAGCTCTGGAAGAGTAGACTTGGAGGGAGTCTAGAAGCTTCTTGTATTTATTCAGCAATTAACCATGTATGGACTTCCTGCGATGTGCCAGGCTTATACTTGGGGCTGGAAACTAGTGGTAAAGCACCCCGCCCCCGTGCTCCTGTTCTCTTGGGAGGGAACTCTAAACAAGAGCTGGGTTCTGCAGGGCCCAGTGGGGAAATGGGAAGAGGTGATGGGGCAGAGAGGGGCTGCCCTGACATGGACTGGGGCTTTTCTGGCAAGGGTTTCCAGGAGGAGCTAACATCGGAGGAAGGAGTAGTTCTGGGTTCTGAACAGAGAACAGCACTACAAAAGCCCCAAGGGAAGAAAAAGCATAGAGCCCCTTAGGGGAGCCGTGAACTGTTCAGTGAGCCCGGGGCTTAGAGCAGGAAGTTGGGGTGGAAGCTGGATACAGAGGAAGGCAAGAGAAAAAAACACTGCCTGTTATGTGGGGGTAAATCCAGCCCTTCCTGTAATGAGTTTGCTGAAAGCAAGATTTCGTTATGCTGAAGACCCACAGAAGCAGTGTGGGCTGAGAAACCCAGTCCCATGGCTCACCCTGGGCTGCACTAGGCTTCTGCCTTGCAAACATATGAGGAACTACCCAGAGAGGGGGGCAGATCACTTTTTCCACAGGCAAGCGGAGGTGCTGAGGAACTGAAACTTTATTTTGAAATCCCTGTTGCCTGGCCAAGAAAAATGCAGCAAGAAGTCGCCGGCTCCAGGCTTTGCTGCTGGGGGCCTGACATCCTTCCAGGCCCTGAGGTGCCTCACTCTGGAGCACGGCAGAGGGGAGGAGGTATGGATAGGATGATCCTGAGGTGATCAGGAAGCCCACTCCCTCAAATCCTTCCCCTTCTCCAGGTCAACTGTATTTCCCTGCCTCTGGCATCACAGGCTCACGTAGGGCTGATGTTAGCACAGAGGGCAGGCTCATCACATTTGTGGGTGTCAAGCAAGGAGGGAGAGAGCAAATTGGACCTGTCCAAGTGAGTGCCCAAGGGGATGGGCATTCTGCAGGGACGGGCTCTGAGGACATTAATAAATACGACAGCAGGTGGAACTGAGCTTGAGCTCCCCGCTCCCTGTGGCATTAGAACACGCTCAGGTCAGGAAGACATGATGGGTTTGTGTGAACAGATGTGGGGGAGTTGTGAATGAGTGGAACTGTGCTGTGGGAAGGATGTGGTGTGGCCCCAGGCTGTGCCCCCTCCCAATGTGTCCTAACACCCCCAGCCCTGTGCTGCAACTTGGGAGATGGAAGGTGGAGGCAAGGTCAGCACTGCAGTGTGTGTGTGTGTGTGTGTGCGCGTGCATGAGATTGTGTGTGTTTGTGTGTATGTGCGTGTGTTGTGTTTGTGCGTGTGTGTGAGCATGTGTGTATGTCTTGAGTGTGACTGTGTGTTTGTGTGCACGTGAGAGTGTGTGAGTGTATGTGTGTGTGCATGTGATTGTGTACGTGTGTTTTTGTGTATGTGTGCGTATGAGTGTATGTGTGAGAGTGTGTGTGTGTGTGTGTGTGTGAAGCTTTACCTCCCTGCCCAGCATGTAGGAGGCCTTGATAAGAGTCCTTGGCCACATTGACATGGGGGAGTGAGAGGAACAGGAAGTCGTGCAGATGCCAACAGGATCGAGAAAGCTCTGGTGGATTTACCGTCCGTGAAAGAAACCTGGGGAGGGCAGGAGCAGCTCCTCAAACCGGTCAAGGCTGTGTGTGGAAAGAGGGAACAGTATGTGTGTGGAACAGTGTGTGTGAACAGTGTGTGTGTGGATCCACTAGTGATCCTGTGGGCTTGAGATTACTTTGTTGCACAGACGAGGAAAGGAAGGTTTGGGGGTTTAAGTCACTGCCTGTGTTCAATATAGAGAAGGTGCTAAGAGACCAGAATCAGGGGTCCGAATGCTGGAACAGTGGCTTTGCTGCTTACTTGCTGGTAATCTTGGGCAAAGTGCTTAAACTCCTGTCCCTGTCTTCTCATCTGTAAAATGGGAATATGGTGATACTTACCTCACAGTATTGTTGTAGGGACTGGATGAGATAACTCAGAGAAGATGCCAACCATCTACAGCACATAGGGAACACAGGCCGACTAACCCACTGCCAGGAGAGCCAGTGATGGGCCACTGCCTGGCTCAGTGGGAAGGCAGGAGAGAGGCCCAGGGTAGCTCTGGAGGATTGCAGGAGCAACCAAGGCAGAAGCCATCAGTCAGGCTGTCCCAGCCAAGGGAAGGGAGCATGTGGTCTAAAATGCTTAGGAGACAGATCTGGATTCCTGGGGATTATGGAGAGTCTTCCGAGGTAGGCGGCTGAAAGGACCAGTGTCACTGGCTCAGCATGACTTTGCCCAACCAAGGGCAGCTTGGCTGACATGTGGCCATGTGGGTCTGGGCCAGACCCTTTCAGCTGCAGCCACCTTGTGCCCAGGCAGTGTGATGCCAAGGCCAACGGTGTCTGTGCCAGGGCTGCAGGTGTTGGGTGCTACACTGGCCAGCATTCCTCTGGCTCACCTGTTCGTCCACCCTTCCTTGTCTTCCCAACAAGTAACTTCTAGGTCTGCAGACAAGAGGAAGAGAAGATGAAGGAAGACTGTCTGCCGAGTTCTCACGTGCCCATCAGTGACAGCAAGTCCATTCAGAAGTAAGCCTTGGTGTGCAGGTTGGGTGGGGGAGTCTTCACATTTGCCATTCCCCTCATCCTGGGCAGCCTTTAGGTGGAGGGGTTCTGAGCACTTGTTCAGATATCTGATGGGGTGCCCTGGGAGACAGTGATGGGGTGCTTCTTTTTGAGTCTGTCCAATAGGGGATCCCCAAGCCACACATGTCCATGGCTGGGAGGCATGGGCAATAGAAAAGAGGCTCCAGATGGCAGGCCCTTTATACTAAATAAGTGTGTACGAGGCCTCATTATAACTTTTACATTGATTGCATGTTGACAAATAGTAATTTAGATGTATTGAGTTCAATAAAATGTGTTATTAATGCTAATTTCACCTGTTTCATTTTCCCTTCTGTATTAGGCCATTCTTGTGTTGCTATAAAAAAATACCTGAAGCTGGGTAATTTATAAAGAAAAGAGGTTTAGTTGGCTCACGGTTCTGAAGGCTTTATAGGAAGTGTGGTGCTGGCATCTGCTCGGCTTCCAGGGAGGCCTCAGGGAGCCTCCAGCCATGGTGGAAGGCGAATGGGGAGCAGGCACTTCACATGGCGAAAGCAGGAGCAAGAGAGAGGGAATGGAGGGAGGTGCCACACACTTTTAAATGACCAGATCTCGTGTGAACTCAGAGCGAGAGCTCACTCATCATCACGGGGATGGCCCAAGCCACTCATGAGGGATCTGCTCCCATGATCCAAACACCTCCCACCTGGCCCCGCCTCCAACCCTGGGAATTACAGTTCCACATGAGATTTGGGTGGGGACACAGATCCAAACCATATCACCTCCTAACATGTACTAGAAGATTGAAATTACCAGTGTGGCTCACATCCCACGTCTGTTGGCCCCACTGCCCCACAGAGCCCAGCTTGGGTTCAGGCAGCTGTCTAGGCCTCCCCTCCCTCCAACATTAGCCAAGGCTGTGGCTTTCCCTTCGGGAAGGGAGACAGCATTGAGGGAAAGCGACTTACTGCAGACTTCAGGGCCTTACTCGAAGGACCATCACCTTCTGCTGCGCCTTCGGAAAGTCAGGGTGGGGAAGAGGCAGGCACCCCTCAGGGTGGCCCACAGCAGCAACAGCAGGCCTTGTAGGAAGTGATATGGGGAAAAGCAATAGGCTGTACAATGCCACAAGCAAGTCCAGGGCATTTACTGTGAGGAAGCGACGCAGGTGGAGGACAGGGAGGCTGCCAGGGCCTTACCTGTGATAGTGAAGATGTCGGCCCCCTGGACATCCTGGACCAGATACAGGCCTGTCCTGTGAGTCTCGCCTCCTCCTCAGCCCCACCCCCAAGCCTCCCACCAGGGCCATGTGCAAAACCATCCGGGTGCATCGTGATGGCACAGTCTGGTCTCCTCTGGTTATGCCTGGCCTGTGAGAAGGGTGCTGTCACACTCCTTTTACAAATGAGGAAAAAGAGGCCAGGGAAGCCAAAGACCAGAAGCTGAGGCCCTGCTACACCCCAGGAGTACATGTGTGTCTTTCCCTTTCTAGGTCGGAGCTCTTAGGCCTGCTGAAAACCTACAACTGCTACCATGAGGGCAAGAGCTTCCAGCTGAGACACCGCGAGGTGAGCCTGTTGCTCTTGTTCATAGAGGTCACCATGTACCCTGGGAGGCCCTGCCTGACACGTGTTGTTTCAGGGTAATGATGAAGACCGTTCCCTTCACGCTCAGCAGTGACCCAGTTTGGACAATAAATTATATGGTCACTCTCATCACTCACCTCTGACCCTGAGCCAGGGATCAGGTTATCAGCAGCCAGGTCATCTCCTTGCAGAGGGTCAGCACATCCCTTCCAGAGTTCCTAGTGGCAGAAATCACCTTGGGAGTCTTCCTCCTTCCCCATTCCCCTGAGACTTTTGTCCAGGTGAACTGCTGCTGAGAGCAGGTCCTTCCTCCGCCCATCACACCACTCAGCGGACGAGAGGAGTTGGTCCCTCTCTGTTCCCTGCCGGCCCCGCCACGTATCTGCATGGTCTCACCTGTGGCTCCTGGTCCCCAGTGCTTTCATTTGTAAAGTGGGGTGTGGGGCTACACAGGGGCTTACAGGCCCAGGGGCTCACAGCAGGCAGCACAGGTGTGGGGAGTGGGTCCCCACTCAAGGAGTCAGCCGCCCATCAGATCAAACCATCCCTGCTATGCAGGACCGTAGGCCTAGTGCAGCCAGACCCTTTCTGATTTTTCAAAAAAGGATAGATTATCTGGAATTTCATGAGGAATTTCCCAAATCTTGAAACATCATGTGGGCTAAATACATGTCTGATGCCAAACACAGCCCTCAGGCACTGGCTGGACTCTGCAGGGCCTAGGCTTGGGGGACCACCCACTGGGCAGGGCAAGTGGAGCCCTAGTCTTGTGGTCATTCACATCCTCCGATGTTTCACGCGGGAATCTTGGTTGGGCTTTGTGGCCCTATCTTGGTCTAACTGAACATATCTGTACTGCCTAATGAACATATTTGTACAGCCCCACCCCCATGCCTCCCACCAGGGCCATGTGCAAAACCATCTGGGTGCATCGCGATGGCCCAGTCTGGTCTCCTCTGGTTATGCCTGGCCTGTGAGAAGGGTGCTGTCACACTCCTTTTACAAATGAGGAGAAAGAGGCCAGGGTAGACTTGAACCCAGATGGTTCAAGTCTATCGTGGTAAGGCTGTTTTTGAGTGGAGGGTTCTGCAGTTGAGATTGGGTTGGCTCCTGGACTTTCTCCCATCCATCAGCATCTGACCAGGGCCGATGGATTCCAAGTGCCCCTCTGTTGTTGAACACAGGAATGGGCAGGGCAGCCCCAGGAAACCCAAGACCTCCTCACTAGTCCTGGCTCACTAGTCCTACTCCCCCCTCTTCAGTAATTTAGACACCCTTCTACAGCTCCCAGGCCAGAGCTAGCCCAGGCATCCAGGCAGCTCTGGGCAGCCGGGGGTTGCCAGTCAGTGGCAGGTCAGAGGGCCAGCCAGAATCTGCTGCCAGACGGCCTCAGCCAGCCCCTGAGGTGTCCCCTTGGCCAGCCAGGTCAGACGTCACACCCTTCGGGAGCTTCTGGCTCCTGGTCCAGGCTATGCTGGGCTGCCTGTGACCACCAAGCATGGTACAAATCTCACACTCCACCTCCTTGACCTGCCCAGGCCACAGGGCCCGAGAGCTTGCTCCCCTCCGTCTCTTGCCATCTCACCTCCTCACGCTTGCTTCTGTGACACCTGTCTCACCCTGCCTGCCCCCATCCTGCCCTCCCTAGGCCAGGCACCCTGTGGGTCCCTGTGCAGAGTTGGTGGGTGACTTAAGCAGCAGGTGTAGGCCTGGAGAGAGCTGGGGTGAGTTCTCAGTCCTGAGCTCCAGTGTGCTGGGCAGAGGGAGGCACTGGGGAGAGTGTGTTGGGGCCACAGGGATTTCCACCTGTGCTGTTAACACAGGCCACTTCATATCTGGTGGAGGCCTGGGGTGTGGTCGCTGCTGTTGAATGCAAATTCCTACCACGCCCCTCCCCCCCGCCTGCTGAACCGAAAACACTTAGTCCTCCTGTCCGTGTTTTAACGAGCCCTCCAGGGCATTCCGGTGGAAGGTCAAGTTTGAAAACCACTAGTAAGAGCTTAGTTTTGGCACTCGGGATTCCCCAAGATAATCCCCTCTGTCGGAACGGTTGTCGGGGGCAGGGGCGGTGGGGCAGGAAGCCCCAAGAGCGTCCACCCTGCGTTTGTGGTTTGTGTATGCTGCGGGACAGCCCACATAGAGAAGTAAGGGACTCTAAGGCTGGGAAGAGGTGTTCTTGACAGCCCTTAATGATAGAAAGTCAACCCACCAAGGGGATTTTCCTGTCCCTAACTCTGAAGAAAGTGTGAGGTTTGACCTGGTCTCCATGGAGCCAGAAAGTACCTTTCAGGAAACTTCTGTAGCCTTAACAGCCCAGGGGGTACCGGCCTGAAGAAGTGTGCATTTTTGCTGGGTCACAATCACCACATAAGACGAGGCTTCAGGCTGTGACGCTGATAGGCCTCCAGATCTCACTGCAGCCCTGTGACGCACCCGGCACGACGACCTCCTGGACCTCTGAGCACTTGCTACAGGGGCAGGGCCATCCCAGGCCAGTCTCTCCTCAGGCACCACAGGCCCCAAGGGCTGGGCAGACAAGAGGAACGGATACTTCCCCGGGGAACCTCCAATGCACCAGGCGCTTTGCCTCTCCTTTATTTAGTATAAGGTGATACAGGAATGATTATTTTCCAGGCAAAGAGATCGAGGCTCCCAAAGTTTAAGTCTCTAGACAAGGTCACACTGCAGTAAATGAAAGGTGCTGGCCATGGCCCCAAGATCACAGCCACTCAAAACGGCAATACCATTTCCAACATTAGGCTTTGGAGGTCTCCACCCAGTATCAGTGAACAGGTCTCAGGGACACAGGGAGCAGTTTGTTGCCCTTGAGCCCCAAGCCAAGGGGCTCTCAGGCTGGCGAAGGGCTCACCACCCGGGGTGCGCTCCCAGAGCCGCCTGAAAGAGACCCCCCGCCCCGTGTTCTCACTGCCCCTCCCCGCTGCAGCACCGGCAGCCTGAGCATTACGGTTTGGGGTGCCTTCTCCTCCACTGTCTCATCCCACTTCTCCGAAGGTGGGCAGGGCCACGCCCTGGGGCCAGCGTCTCCTTGTGAGCTTTCTCCCCGCTTCCGAGGGGCCAGAGGAGGGACGCCTTCTCTGGAGGCTGAGGCGCCGACTTCCTCTATCATGAACCTTACCTTTGGGATAATTTTGCTTGTATTACAACAAAAAGCCTGAACAACGGGGAACAGCCTGTGCCTTTTGAACATGGCAAAGGGCTTTAACCAGGCTGGCTGGTATCTCAAAAGAAAAAAGGACTGCCGGGAAATGTCCTTGTGTAAACCCACCGCTCTCGGCTGTCGGCAAGCAAGTGAGCCCCAGGCGGCGGAACCCTCTCCGGGGACTGCGTGCCGGCTCCGCCCGCCTGGGGCGCGGCGCCGAGGCTCGGGGGCGTCCCCTGGTGACCGCGGACGCGCTCCACACCCAGTCGCGCTCCTAGGCCCTGGGACCCCCTCAGCAATGCGAGAAACGGAAGGGGCTTCCCCTGGTCCGGGGGCTCTCTCTCTCTCCCAGGGGTGCGGAAAACCAACATCCTGCCTTGAGAGAGTTGCCCCGTCCCCTCTCCGAAGGCCTGGCAGACCACTGGTCCCCGGAGTGACTGACCAGCTCCAAGAACATCTGTTTTCTGGGAGCCGCAAAGCGCTTCCCAGCCTGCCCGCTCTGGGCAGGGCCTTGTGTCCCAATCACTCCCTTCTTCACCTCCCACCAACACCTTCCACCACGCACCCCCACCCCCTCTCCACCTCCCACCCCCACCCCCACTCTTCTCTCCACCCCCAGCCCCACTCCCCTCTCCACTCCCACCCCCACCTCCACTCCCCTCTCCACTCCCCTCTCTACTCCCCTTTCCACTCTCCCCACCCCCACTCCAGTGGCAAGTAGGAAGGAGAATGCAACTGCTCTACAAGGGCCCAGCAGGAGGCTTAGCTTGAAGGGAAAGGAATTCGCCTGGGCCTGTCTGCAGGAGCTTGGGACACTGCCAGAAGCCCCCACCACAAACCTGTATTCGACGGGGAGGGAGCACCTTCCAAAGGTGCCACTGACCTCTTTCACAAAGCTGGGTATTAGTGGGGAAGCCTGGGGATGGTGGGTCTCCTCAAACTGCCTGACCTCCCCAGATGCAGTGAGGCAGCTTCTGAGCATGGAGGAGTCTGCTGACCCCATCCTAGTTGCTGGACTCTCCCCTCTGACCCAATTTCGTCATGCTTTGCAGAAGGGGCTGTAGTGAGGCTGGACCCAGCAAGCCTGGACCTCGGCCCCTCTGCTTTGGTCAGGGGCCCTCCGGATCTCTCCTGAGGGTGATGGTTGGCTAAAGGCTGCCCTGGCCAAAACCTGCCCCACACGTTTGCCCAAAGACAGGAACCTGCAGGTTTGAGACCACCACAGAGACACAGTGGGCTGTGACAGATACAAACATTTGTCTACAGTGCTCACAATTGCAGCTCCAAGTTCATATGAGCAGGTTCCCAGCCCTTGCAGGGTGTGAAGGACACTGTTGATGTCCCCATTTTATAGATAAGGGAACTGGGTAATTGCTTGTCTGAACGTAACAGAAGACAAACATTTAACAAATCCAAAGCAATTAAAAATAGCCACAAAAAAAGAGAATGACCTAGGTTGACAACTCGCAGAGCAAGGAGGTGGCAGAGACCCGCCCAGGTGAGCTTGGTTGCCGCCCCCAGCTCCATCTTCCTCCTCTCCTCTCTCTGTCCTTTTGCCGCTGACCAGAGGCAGCCTGATTCCCATTCCCTGATGCCTCACCTTCTTGCTGCCAGATGCCTCTAGGAATTGGGGTCCTTCAGACTCCAGATGCCCTGGCCTGGGCCTTAGAACATCTGGACTTCCCCGGTGAAGGACAGCTGGACAGTGCCCTGCTTCTCACCCACAACTGGGACCCTGACCATGCCATGAGCCCCCTGGGTGGAGGTGAGATGGGGGTGGGGATGGTAGGACTGAGTGGTACAGATTCTGTCTTGGCCCTCGTCATGGGGGAATTCTCCCAGTGCCACGACAGGATGTATGAGTTGTAGCCAGCAGAGTGCCCCAGTGGTGCCAGGTGACAGTCCCCCTGGAATACATCAGTGCATTTGCTAAGACTCCATGTGTTCTCTTGGGCCTCACATAACATGGACTTTGAGAGTGGAGGCCAAGAGGCGGACTTGGGAGTGCCTGAGGCCTTGTTCTGAAACACCTGGGGGGCTGGCACCCCACTACCCTCATACCCTTACCACCAGTTTCCCCACCAGCGATGACGATAGCTACTCAGCGAATGGGCTCCTACATGCCTTTACGCGTCAGAATGGCCTGGGAGGCAGGTGCCAGTAATTAGTCCCATATTACCCACGAGAAACTGAGAACACAGATGTTAAGTAACTTGCTCAAGGTGATCAGCCAGCAAGGATCAGAGCAAACGGGATCGGTAACATCTCCTCATGTGAGACAGGCTGTTATATTCAGAGGGGGTTGGTCTCACTGTGAACTGCCCCAGCAGGGGCCTCTGCAGAAAAGCATTTGTGTTCCAGAGACCTGCCAGGGACAGTGACCACACCATGGGGGAAGACGGGAGATGTAGACCCACCGAGCTCTTTACAGAAGCCTTTATTGGGCAGGGGTCAGAGTTCATGGATCACCGGGAGGTGCGAGTAGAGAGTTCTGAGGACACTGCTGGGGCGGGGGCTGCGGGGGGAGGCCATGGCTTGGGCAGGCTGCCCCAAAGTCCAGCTTCTTAGGTCAGAGCTCTGCTGCCCATCCCGCAATGGTCTTGCTAGGGAGTGCCCAGGCATCCTGGCTTCACAGAGCCTCCCTCTGGGGGCCCCCCTGGCCTTGCTGCTGTCCATCTGTCTGTGCGGACCCCAGAGGCCAGCAGAGGGGCCAGTCCTCCTCGGCAGGTCCCTCTGGCTTGGCTGCTTTTCCTGGGACTCCCCAAAAAGCCAGTCCAGGGGGTCCACAGCATCAGCCGTGGGCAGTGTGGGCTGCTGGCCACTGAAACGTGCGGTGATGTCCCGCAGGGACACAGCAGGGCGGCCCTTCCGGGAGGCCTGGGCTGGCCTGTGGGGTGGCCTGGGTTGGCCCTGGGCCGTGGCCTTGTTCAGCACAGAGGTGGGTTGTGCCAGTCGAGATATGGATCTCACGTAGTCATCCAGGCTAGGAGAGGGCGGGGGCTCCTGCCCAGGACCCCCAAGCAGCATCTCCTCCGTGGTCTCCCGAATTGTGGGCAGATGGGCCACGGACAGCAGAAGCCGGGACCTCATCACCCTGGCGAGAGGAGGCGGCAACCTGTTGGGAAACAGAGGCCAGGTGGTGAGGGCCTGCCATGCATCCCACCGCCCCTCAGTGTCCCCACACTCCTCTGGGGCTGCCTGTAGGAATCTGGTGCCCTGAGAGCAGTTCGAAGTCTACAGAGCCCAGACCAGAGCTCGGACTCCTGGGCTCTTTCTTCCTGTTTAAGTTGAAAACCCAAAGGCTTAAGATTTTATCCTTATTGTTTCAGAATGTGCACAGATAAGAGAAACCAACCTAACAAACACTGGTCAGAGGAAAGCTGGGTTTAAAACCAGGATCGGCCACACACCTTGGGACCTTTGGCAAGGCCACCTCTCCAGGCCTCCACTTACCCATCCGTAAAACAGGGTTATAAATACCCCTGGCAGGGATGTTGTAGGAAACACAGGAAATAACCCCTGAATCCCTTTGTAAATGCAAAGCTCTCTACAGACAGCCCTCTTCTCTAACCCATAGGGAGGCTGTGCAAGTTCAGGCTGGGAATTGCCCTCAAACATAAACAAAGTCCTTGTGTTTTGTCTGAAACCCAAGGGCAGCTGCTCCCTCTTACCTGGAGCTGAGAAGGTCTGGGGGTGGCAGGAGAATGGATGAGCAGGGACAGTCCAGTCCAAAGGAAGCCCCTGGGAAGCTTGGAGGCCAAAGGGTGGAGGGTCCGGCAGGGGGTCCAGGGTGGGGTCGCTGGGAGGAGGACGGTGCACTGAGTCTCAGAGAAAACCGTGCCAGACTCTTCCCTGAGCTGTCTGAAGATCTTCGGCAGGCAGCTGCTTTTATACCTTCCCACCAGCTATCAATCACTGTCACGAGGACCAAAAATAGCCTGCTCAGGAAGGCTCTCTTAGGAAAACAGCTTGGAGGGCGGGGCCTGGCCCAGCTGCCCGCTTGGAGGTGTTTTTCTGCCAGTAGGAGGCTGGGGAATGTTTACGCTGCAGGGCAGGAAAGGGGTGGGTGCACTGCTGGTCACCTAGGGGCACTGGGAGAGGGAGGGGTTCCACTGGGCCCTCACAGGTAGCCCCAGGGCCACCCCTGCCCCAAAGCTTGTTTCCCACTCTGTATTACACCAGCCCATCATGACTCCTGTGAAGTTGGGCCAGGTCCTCGGCAACTTTGATGAAAAATCAGCAGCACAGGACCCCAGCCTGGAGGCAGCTGAGGCTGGGTCCCTAGGCCTGCTCTTAGGAGAGACACACCCTGCTCCCAAGGGACCAAGAGCAGTCTGCGGGGTCTGACCCTGGTCTTCTTACACCCCAGATGGGGTGCTTTCTGAGGATTTGTTTACTTGTTCACCAGATGTGAGGTGCTACTGTGTGCTGTGACTGCACACACAGGTGTGGCCCCCTGGAGCTCATGTTCTAGTAATGGAGGAGATAGAGCCAGAGATGAATGGGTGCTGTGATTCAGGCAACAGCAAGAGTTGCCTGAAGGAAAAGCACAGCAGCACAGTGGGACGCTGTGGTAGGCTGCCGCCACAGGAACAGTGGTCAGGGGTGTCTTCCTTCAGAGCAGATATTGAAGCAGAAACCTGAAAAAAATGGGAAAATGCACATTCCAGGTGGCGTGGGCAGCACGTGCAAAGTCCCTGTGGTGAGGTGCTCCAGATGGACATGCTCAGGGCACAGCAAGGTGCCTGCAGACTGGCCCATGTAGGAGGGGGTCAGTGAACCTTGGCGTGGATGCTGTGTTTCCCTCCAAGAGGGAGGCAAAGACACTGCAGGGTTTGAACAAGGGCACTGCAGTCTGGCTTCTGCTTCAAAGGATCGCTCTGGTTGCTGGGCCTGGGCTGGGGCTGGGGGGCTGCCAAGGAGCACCTAGGCAGCATTAGAAAGCCACCGCCTCTGTCCAGGAGTGACCATGCCAGCAAAGGAGGCTGCCAAGGACGAGGGAGGCAGTCCCTGGGAAGCTCCTGCACTCCCCCGACAGGCCACAGATCCTCTGCCCCAGCCACAGTCCCACCTGGAACACGCCTGCCTGTGCTACAGGTGGGGGAGAAAGAGGAGTCCCCCAGAGGTAGCCTAAGCCTGAGCTCTCAGTACTGGGCAGACCCCAGACTCCCTAGGCAAGCAAGAGGAACTGGCAGTCCCAAGTTCTTGAATTCTAGGTGGGAACTCCATGTGCACAAAGGCATCGGAGCAGGGAGTGCCTGAGACAGTGAACAGGATTTCAGTGGCACATGGCACTTCTCACCTTGCCCAAACTCTTATATCTTTTGTAGACCCTTTGTCTAGTTCGCTGGCTCTTCTTTGAATTTATTAGCAATGAGCAGATTAGTCAAGAGACTAAAAGGAGGGAGACGGAGAATTTGCTGCTGGCTGATAGGCCAAGATGCGGCCAAGCTGGGGGAGGGTGAACCGTGGTGGGCGGCAATGTTGGGGGCATACACGTCACCTGTGCGTGGGTGGCTGGCCTGAGTCATGGCTAGCCAGCTTGTCCCCAGTACAACCAAGCCCCCGACCTTGTCCAGGCAGGTCCTGCTCAGCTTTCCTCCCTGTCCTCCCTCACTGGTCTTCCAGAGTGCAGTGCACAAGCACCCTCTCCAGGAAGCTCCATTGCATCTCCTTCTGCGTCCTGAGCCCCTCGTGGCTGGGGCTGTGTCTCCTCCATCTCCCTCTGCCTGGAGTCCAGGGTGGGGCTGGAGGGCAGTGGGTCTCCACGAGTGAGCCATCCCCACAAGCTGTCTCCACTGAGAGGCACCCGAGACCAAGAGGCAAGAACAGAATCCGCCGTAGACCTTTGAACTCCATAGATCCGTGCTGGCCTCTCCTTCATAGGGAGCTCAGTGACACATCTATGCTTGTAGAGCACCAGCGGGTATCAAAAACAGCTCTGGTTTCTGCTTGTTTGTTTTCCTTTTTAGTGGATAATGAAAGGTCATATCTGGAAGCTGTGTGTGTTTTTGATAACCTTTGGATACACTGTTTTCTCTGTGGATGGCAGGATGTTTGAACCCAGAAACCCCATTGCTAACTTACTATGAAATCCACATTGTGCAGGGTCTTCCTGAGTGCTGCCAGGGATACGAAGAAGTTTCCATGGCATCCCTGTTCTCACGGGGCTTTTAGTGCCAACGAGGAGAGAGAAATGGGATTTGTGAATCTAAAATATGGGTCAGAAATACTGCATGATTCCTTTATATAAGGAATCTAAAATAGGCTCATAGAGGCAGAGAGTAAAAATGGTGGTTGCAGGGCCTGGGGCAGGGGAGGAGGAAGTGGGGAGTTGCTGTGCAGCTGATATAACGTTTCAGCTATGCAAGATGAGTAAGTCCTGGACATGGGCTGGGCAACATTGTGCCTACAGTGAACAATACAGTATTGTGCACTTAACAGTTTGTTTAGAGGGTAGTTCTTATGTTATATGTCCTTACCACAATAAAACATAAATAAATAAGAAAATTAAATGTTGATTGAGATGGCAATGGGAGAATGATATTCCAAGTTAGTTGTGGAAAGACTAGTGTCAGAGCACATTAGGAGTGCGTAGCTTCAAGACCGCGGCTCTGGGTAGAGGGCAGCCGAGGTTGCTGGCAAGAATTCTAGCAAATGACTCAGCTTGGCCAGGCTTACGCACAGAGTGACTGGGATTGGCACAGAGGCCTGGCGTGGTCTCGCAGAGACAGAGGCCTGGAATAGGTCAGAGGCACTGAATCAAGGGCCCAAGAGGTGCCAACCAGCACTAGCAAGGTGCCTGCAGAGGACTCTGTTGATTAGGGCCCCAGTTTGGCAGCAGGAGAGGAACCATGTCATCTGCAGACCTAGGGACACTGAGGCAGGTTGGGGACATGGGATGAAGGCTGTTGTAGAAATTCTGGCATGGGATATAAGGTTAGTGATGTCTAAGCAGTGGTGAGAAAAGCAAGCCTCTCTGTCAGCCCTGGCAAGTCGACGCTGCTGCTTTCGGGAGGCACCAGGAGAAGGGTGAGGCTGAGACACAGCTAGGACAGAGAGTGCCCACTTCTGCTCTGGTGGGCGTGGGACCCTGCAGGGCCTGGTGGCACAGGAACTGGTGGCACAGGACCCCCCTCCCAGGTGCAGTGTGGGCAGAGAGGTCCCCTGCTTGGCACGAGCAGACAGACTGTGCGTTCCTGGAACCGCTTCCTCACTGCAGTGTGGACGTGTCTGCCGGCCAGCAGCTGGGTTCCTGTGGGACACCTGACTCAGCCCACTGCGTTCCAGGCTGTGTCCCTGGCCAGGCATGAGCTGAGCACATCTCAGGCTTCCTCCCACAGGGCCTGGTCACATGCCTCAGGACACATAGTGGTTGATGGTCCTTCCCGAGGGGATGGGGCCACTCAGGAGGAGGGATGTGCAAGGCCTAAGTGTCCAGAGCATCCCATCCCTAGGGGGCACAGGGAAGGTGGGCAGCTGCTTTGGGGGAAGGGCTGATGTGTGTACCCCCACAGGAAGAAGGGACTCTGATCATCGAGGGGCTCCTCAACATTGCCTGGGGGCTGAGGCGGCCCATCCGACTGCAGATGCAGGATGACCGGGAGCAGGTGCACCTCTCCTCCACCTCATGGATGCCTAGATGGCCCAACTGCCCTCCGTGAGTACCCGGTGGCTTCTGTGACACCTGCTCAGCCCAAGCTCCCTGTTTGGGGTGTGGGTTGGGGATATCCCGAGCCTCAGGGTGGGAGCCCTGTTCCCTTATGGGACACTGGCATGGGAGGGTGACCCAGCCTCATCGCCATGCCCCGTGACTGCCTCAGTCCACAGCCTCACCCAGAGTGGCCTCTCCCTCCCTCCTGGAGAATGTTCCAGGCTCCCATGACCTCCATTTCTGTTTCTCAAACTTCCTCCAAGCCACCTTGCTGGCAAGAAGGGACGACTACAGCCAGCAGGGCTCCCAGCACCTGTGCAAGCTGAACATGTCTTACCGTCTCTTGTTCTATCTTAAAAATGCACACAAATTTAGCCTCTTACTACTCTGTTTTCATTTTAATGTCAAAATTTTTAAAATAAATTTGTCAGAATTTCACATTAGATTTGTTTAATATCAGAAAAATGTTTCCGTCAGGAGGAAATGGTCTCCTGCCTGCCTTACTGTTTAATGCACATTTATCTCCTCCTCAGCCCACTCCCAAAAGACGCAGTTAGTAGCTGGGCCTTGCCTGCTTCTCCAGTAATAACTCCTGTAGAGAGCACACATTCAGAGCTTTGCCCCCTTCAGATTTCACATAAAACCCATGCTGTGACAGCACTCACCACCCTGACAGCCCTGGCACATCCCTAGGTGTCCCGTCACTCAGCGAATTCTGAGCCACACAGAATTAGATCATAAAGTCAGACTCCTTAGGAAGGCTGCAAGTGTGACTCACATGTGCCCCTCCTTGAGGTACAAGCAGTCACAGACAGCAGTCGCGGCTGGTGCCCATGTGTTCTCCAGGATCCCATCTGTCTTCTCCTCCCCAGGTCCCCCGGGCTGCACGACTCTGTCCCATCATACTCACTCCTTCTCCAGCCCAGCACTGGCTGCCCTGGCCTGGGGTTCATCCTGCTAAGAGGCCTGGAGGTTGGGCCCTTCTAGGTGGCCCCTGCCTGACACCCCACCAGGCCTTTGGGAAGCCCAGTGAGCCCGTTTGGCACACAGCTGCTGGCCTGGCTAAGCCTGATGCCTAGGAATGTGCAGGCCCTGACTGCGTTCATGCATCCATGTGTCTGCGTGATGCAGTCCAGCACAAGCCCTCAGGCCAGGCTCACTTCCGTCCAGCAGATGCTGGTGGAGGCCTCTGCTTTTCTTTTATTGTTTCAGACTGAAATCTCGGTTTGAAATCCAGGCCTCACCTCAGCCTGCCGTGCTTCCCACCTGTGTCCTGCCCCAGGGGCTGCTGGTCTCTTCTCCTTGGCCTGAGCTCCCTTTCTCTGCCAGCAGCCATCTCAGCACCGCAGTTGTCTCTTTTCAGAAAGGAGCCATCGCCCCAGGACGGGAACATCACAGCCCAGGAGCCAAGCACTCAGCCAGTGCACAAGGCTGAGCGTTCTACAGACAGCTCGGGTAAGCAGAGCCCACGAGCTGCCCAGACCCCTGCCTCATCCAGGATAGGAGCAGAGGGGCTTGGCTCACCACCACAGTCTCCAAAGGACAGCTTTGTGCCCCAGCAAAAGAGGGGCTTCACCTGCTGGACCCCTACCCAGGTGCCTGCCTCTGAGGTGCTCTGCCCTCATTCTCGCTCCTCTTTATGGAAAAGTGAGCAGAGGTTTGGGAGGTGACAGTGTAGGGGTGGCCTGAGTCCCCTGCCCTATGTGTGCTATGGGAAAGGAGCATCCACAGAGGGCACTGCACCCTCCTTGCCCCTCGCCTCCCTCTGGGACCTCGTCCTCATCCTCTGTACCTGCTCATGCATCCTCTTTGTGCCCCTTCCCTTAGCACTCTGAAGGGCTTGTTTCAGAGCAGGGGCTCAGAAGACAGGGCTGGGGCCACCAAAGACCTCCGTGGGCACCCTAAGATAGAGACCAAGAGGGGTATGGCCATATGACATTGTGTCCCAGGATACCCTGTCTGGGTCTCACCTTCCTATCTGCAAGCTGGGAGTATCCAGCCTCCAGTCCAGGAATGGCCCTCACGTCCCCATCTACCCCAGTGCACATGACCACAGAGCTCTAGGGAGCCAGACCTCCTGACAGCAGGCAGTTGCTCTGTCAGCATCATCCACCCTGCCATTCTCTCATCCATTTCTCATGCAGGGCCCCTGGAGGAGGCAGAGGAGGCCCCCCAGCTGATGCGGACCAAGAGCGACGCCAGCTGCATAAGCCAGAGGAGGCCCAAATGCCGTGCCCCCGGTGAGGCCCAGCGCATCCGGCGACACCGGTTCTCTATCAATGGCCACTTCTACAATCATAAGGTGATGCCCCAGCCTGGTCTGTCCCCTGGGTACATGGGGAGCCAGCCCTGAGCACAGGCACAGCAAGCACCATGACCTGTGTGGGGGCTGCTGGCATTCCTGTCCCCTCAGGAGGAAAAACCTCCTGCCAGGTTGCATCCACATAACAGCCCCGTTTGTGACCTATGCATTTTCCAGCACATTCTCGCTGTCAGTCCATCCTCATAAGTCACACAGATTTCTGGCAAGTAAGCGAAGATGCCCTGGGCAGACAGTAACGCTGAATGTATCTTCAACAAGGGCGCTTTCTAGGAGGCTTCCCCTCGAACGTGATTGGTTGATCCCTGGGAACACTGTGTATCGAGCCATCACTCACACTGAATAATTAAGCAGGGGTGTGCCCAGGGCATGTGTGTCTGTGCCCCAGAGAACCTGGACGACCCCAGATTCCCACCATGCAGCCTTTTGTCTAAGGATGCATTGTACTGACCTCAGGAAAAGCTTTCCTTCCCCAAATTACATCATTCTATAAACAAACTGAACTGTAACAGGATAAGTTGATTGTTACTATAAATAGAATGGTTGGCTGTCTGGGCAAGGCCCTGGATGGAGCGTCCTGTGACAAGCCACATACTACCCGCATCACTGGGAAATGCAAACTGAGATTTCCAGTTGAAGCAGCTGCCCTTCTTGATAGAGGATGACTTATGGCAGAGAGGGGGCCCAGGGGGAGGGTCTCAGGGTCCAATCTGAAGGAGCAGGTGTCCCAGGTTAGGCCATCCAGGGACCATTCAAGCCACACTTGGGGTGCCCTGGACTTTGGAATGAAGCCGAATTCTGCTGGGCAAGCTGAAGGGACCCTGCTTTAATCTCAGGATCTCCCTTCCATCCCCTGCTAGGCTTGTGGTGAGTGAATGAATGACAATAGGGTTGCCTTTGCTAAGTCCAGAAAAATCCAGGACTATTCCAAAGTAGAGTTTCCTGAGAGAGTAAAGGGGACCCAGGGTTGAAGTTAGGCAAAGATTAACAATGGTGTAGATTAGCCCAAGGACACATAACATGACTTGAGTATTCTTTAAATCTTGTTCCAAAAGGGGTTTAGTGTGTAATGTGTTGAGTACCCATTGTTAGCATTCAAATAAAGATTGATATGCTAGTTTAAGGAATTACTCAAAAATTTTCCAAAATATATGCATAGTTTAGGTATTTTCCAGTTCTATGTTCCTTACCGAAAAAAAGCCAGGCAGGGGGGATTCTTTTGCTCCCCTGAATGGTGGGGTTTAGCTTTGGTACATTCGCTTCTCCTCGAAGGGTCTCATTCATCACTAAGAAGTGTGTCTGGCACAGTAAACCTTATTGTAGTGATTGCCAGTGTCATAGGAACACCATGTCCTAAGCACTCTGCAGCCTTTGAAATGAACAGTGAGGGTTTTCATCACATCCTCTCATTTCCGTCTGAACCACACTATCAGGAAGAGCTACTCAGCCAGACGACACGGGGTCTCGGCCTGTCACCCAGTGAGGGCAGTTTTTCCTCCTAGTGACAGATTTGCCTATGGAATGTGAATCCATTCTTCCAGAAAAAAGTACTGCTTTCAAGGACAGGGAATAATATCGTAAGCATTTGGGACACCAGCTCCCCCATCTTCTGGGTGAGTAAGGGGAGTCCCAAAGAAAATCACTGTACAAGAAGCCCTTTGTCACTATGCTCAACATCCATACAGAACTAATGTCCTTAGAAATTAGGACACAGATTCCTTGAGTCAGAGGCAACAATTGAAAAATAAATAATTCCTAGCATTGAATTTCTGAGATAGTTCCAGGTTTTGTTTCTTAGAACTGTGCACTATTACTTCACTCGGTCATTTTCCAAAACTGTTGTGATTCCCAGAAATGTTGGTTTTATTTCCAGACTGGGTAAAACTTTGTAGCTCTTTCTACTGCCTGATCTGTTGGATTCCAATGCATTTTGTTAGAGAGAAACCATTTGTGGTTAGAGATGAGAAAGTAGCCACAGGGCCTTTTTTCCTACTTGAAGTTGGTTGGTATCACCTTGAGAAAAGGCTTTATGCAGAAGAAACACAGTGTCTTGTTAACAAGAATTTTTGTCTTTTTGAAATAGCCTAACTCCTCTCTTCCATATTTCTTTCTTTTCTTTTCTTTCTTTCTTTTTTCTTTTTTTTTTTTTTTTTTGAGATGGAGTGTCACTCTGTAGCCCAGGCTGGTGCAGTGGCATGATCTTGGCTCACTGCAACCTCCACCTCCCAGATTCAAGCGATTCTTTTGCCTCCTGAGTAGCTGGGACTACAGGTGTGCACCATCATGCCTGGCCAATTTTTGTATTTTTTGTAGAGACGGGGTTTCACCATATTGGCCAGGCTGGTCTCGACCTCCTGACCTCGTGATCCTCCCACCTTGGCCTCCCAAAGTGCTGGGATTACAGGCATGAACCACTGCACCTGGCCCTCTCTTCCATATTTCTTTGGACAAGAAGGCCTAATCCCAGTCCTGGCTTTCTGTGTAACTGAGTCACTCTGCACCTCAACTAGAATCAAGCCGGGGGAAGCAGATCAAGGTTGAGTCTCTGGCACAGCATGCTTCATTTTATTGTGCTTCTTGTTACTGTACCTCACAGACTGTTACAGATGGAAGGTGTAAACAGCTGCATTTTTTTTTTTTACTACACCCGCGTTTTCTGCAAATTGAAGGTGTGCGGCAACCCTGTGTTGGACAAGTCTGTCGGTGCCGTTTTCCAACAGCATGTGTTCACTTTGTGTCTCTGTGTCAGATTTTTTAGCAATAAAGTAGTTTTAATTAAGGCATGCATATTTTTGAGATGTAATACTATCTCACCCTTAAGAAACTACAGTATAGTATAAACATATCTTGTATATGCCCTGGGAAACCAAAACATTTGTGTGACTCACTTTATTGAGATGTTCGCTTCATTGTGATAGTCTGGACCTGAACTCACAATGGCTCCCAGATGTGCCTGTACTTATCAGAGCAGGGACCAGTGGGGGATACTGAATAGGTCCTTGAGCTCTCTGAGCCTCAGCTACCTCCTTGGGAAAACAGAGCTAGGATCTCAGAGGAGGAATATGTGAATCTAAACTTGAGTTTGAAAAGCAAGGGGAGGTTCACCTGCAGAGAAGTCACATTCGCTGGGAGGCACCAGCACCAAGGGGGTAACATGTAGGTTTTCAGGAATCATGGAATCCTTTGAGTCAGGGCTCTGTCTTTTCTAGATGAGTGACTCTGAACAAGCTGGGTAGCCTCCTAAAGCCTATGATTCCTTTCTAAGAAAAGGGAACTGGTTATAGGTGCCTCAAAGGGTTGTTATGAATGTTAAATCAATGATTGTATGTAAAATCTTGGGTTCAGTACACAGCTAGTGTTTATTGAGGACCGACCTATTTCCTTATGTGTCAGGCAGAGTCCTGGTTGATTTCATATATGGTGTCTCTTAGGCAAAGGCAAGATACCTGCAAAATATAATGTGCCCCCGCTGCCCCCCAGCCAGATTGTGAAGAAGCTCTATGACTGGAGCACAGGGTGCTTGTTAGGCAACCATAGTGTCATACGCACATGGCAATGAGAAGAACTACAGATGATATTGCACAGGCCCCAGGAAGCCTTCAGATACTTTTAGATCCATGCTTTCAAACAATGCTTCTCACATTAAACTGCACAGATTGCTTGGCCTTGTGTTCTACAAATGCGAACTCCGATTCAGGTGGTGTGGAGCAGGGTAGGCAAGGGAGCCGAGACTGTGTGGATGCAGCTGGGCTAGACCTCACTTGGAGGTGCATGGGTTTTAGAAGTCTGTGCCTGTAGGCAAGCGGTGCAGAGTACAGATTAGAGGGACTGAGACCAGAAGGGAACAAACTGGGAAGCTGATGGGGTGTGACCAGTGCCTCTACTAGGCACCGCTGGGAGAATGAAGAGGAGGGTACAGACTGGGGAACTTTCAACCTTAGAATCAACAGACACCTGGTGACTTGATCAATAGAGTGAAGGAGAGACTGGTTCCCCTACCCTTGTGAATGACTTCCATGGTCCTGGTTCCTCGGGTCCAGAGAGCTTGCCCTTCTGGGTGTGTAGACATCTTCCTTAGGCCTCTGGAAGGCGTGCACTACTACAGCTTCCCGGAGTGTCCCCCAGGTCTGGGAACAGCTTGTGTGTGCATCAGCGTGAATGGACAGGCACAAGTGTTCCCAGCGTCACCTGCTGCCTGGGTCTGTTCACCATCGTGATGTCAGCCCCTTGTCCCTTCGGGGCCTGCCCTGAACTTCTCTCCCTTCCTGGTACAGACCTCCGTGTTTACTCCGGCCTATGGGTCCGTGACCAATGTGAGGGTCAACAGCACCATGACAACCCTGCAGGTGCTCACCCTGCTGCTGAACAAATTTAGGGTAAGCCTGGCCAGGAGCGGCCTTGCCCCAGGATGCCAGTGATTTGCTGTTCTGTTGGGGGTGGGGTTCTGGGGAAAGTTGCCCGTGGCTCCTGGGCAGAAGGTTTAGCAAGAGTCCCTCTGCTGAGCTTTTGTCTTTCGGATTTCAAGCAAGAGAGGGTTGGGAGAGGGCAGGTTCCTTGTGGCTTGTCTGTGTGTTACTGGGGGTGTAGTTACTGTCAGGGGATCCTCTCAGTTCTCTCCCATCTCAAAGCACTGTGATCTGACTTCCTGTGACTGCCCATGTAGGTGGAAGACGGCCCCAGTGAGTTCGCACTCTACATCGTTCATGAGTCTGGGGGTAAGTACCTGCCCCACTTCTGGATCATAAAAGCAAAAGGTCTCTGCCTGTTCAGCAAGCCCCCTCCCCACCAACCACCGACTGTACTCCCTCCCAGATGGGCTCTGGGCTGGCTTGCCTAGTGGGCTGGGGCACACTGTGCCTCCCAGTATGAATATTTCTCCCCCACCCAAAGCAGGGCACACTATGGAAGCCTTAAGAAAAAGAAAACATACTTTTGGCTTCAAATTTAAAGCACATTAAAATGTTCTTGGATTTTCTAGGTCGCTCAGTACATTAAGTTTAATTCTTTCAGGATTCTGAAGGAGAATCCCACCAAGCTGTAGGAAGCTTCCCTCTCCGCCTCTTCCAGTAAATGGATGGGTCCCTAGCTCATTGGGGCTGAAGGGTAGGGTGTGTGTCACAGTGCATCAGGCCCTGGCTCTCCCATCTCAGCTGTTCTTTCTCCCACCCCCTCAGATCTTGTTTCTCTTCAAGCTGCACCTTTGCGGAATGACACTGTAGGGGAGGAAAAATATCTTTTCCTTCTACCCATTTAGGTTCATTGGCTGAGGCCCTGTATTTAGATTAACAAAAGCCAGATTAAGGAGAACAGACAGAAGTTTGTTAACACTTGCATCATGCATGCGCTTTGGAATATCCAGGGATGAGTGGTTAGAATTTGGGCTTAAATAGCATATTCACAAAAGAGCAGTAAGTTTTTAGGGAAGTGACAGGACAGAGCAGAAGCGCCTGAGTTTCTGGGGAGGCGAAGGGCCGGAAGGTCACTGCATGGGGAGCTGTTGTCCCACGGAAAGGCTTCACTGGGACATGCTGTGCAGGTTCCTCTGGTGCCCTCTCCAGACTGAGGAGGGGCTCAGGTTGTCTCTGGTAACTAACTCCATCCTTCCCTGGAGAGGGGCAGGGGCACACCTTGACAAATTTATGTCCTGCTTTTCGGCAAATAGGGAAGGGCAAAGAGCCTCACTTGCATCTTCTTCTTCTCAATTGCCAGCTGCTCCACTTAATCCTTATGCCAAAGTGGCAGATTTGGGGGCCCTGTTCTGCCTTCCTTCAGCATGAGCAGGGATCTCTCAGGACAGTGCTATTAGAGAGGTCTGTGTTCTTAGGGTTCCCTTCGCCCCTAGACGTGCATTTTCTATCAGTTCTTAATCTGGAACAGAGAGAGGTGACTAATCTGCCGTGATTTTTGTAAACCATCTTCTTTTTCAGAGCGGACAAAATTAAAAGACTGCGAGTACCCACTGATTTCCAGAATCCTGCATGGGCCGTGTGAGAAGATCGCCAGGATGTTCCTGATGGAAGCTGACTTGGGCGTGGAAGTCCCCCATGACGTGAGTGGGGGCTGAGGCTAGGGAGGCCTGCTCTAGGGTGAGGGGCTCTTGGGTGACGAGGCCTACCGAGGACTCCTGGCCAGAGCCCTCTCAGGTGATGTCTCCAGGAGCTCCATACCCTCCCGAAGGGCTCCCAGCCCAGCACAGGGAGGCACCAGCCCTCCCTCTCCCATCAGTGACCGCCAGCGCCAACAGCTTAGGGAAAAGAAGAATTTGGGTCCTATAAAACCATGGCCCTGTCCTTTTCCTTTCAGGGAAGTAAAGTCTTTTCCTTTATTGGAATGTATTTTGTTGTCATTATGTGAGAGACCTATGCAAAGGTTTTTAACTAGGCCCTACCTTGCACCTGTGGAAGACAGGGAGCTATTTAAGTCTTACCAATAGCCTGAGTTCTGACTGGACAGTGAGTGCATTTCCAAACTCCTCTGCTTAGAAGACGCTTACAGGGTTTGAACCTCAGGTAGGAGGCCCAGTGACCCCATATCCCTCAGGCTGCTGCAGTTGCATTCCATTGTTAGAAACAATGGTGCTCCCACCTCCCTACCCACCAGCCCAGAGGGCACCCAGTGGGACAAGGCTGCTGTACTGAATGCTCTTCCTAATATTCAGTTTAATATTTCCTCCCAGGGATAACAGTTGCCTTTGAGATAATAATAGGCTCCTGTCCTGGCATCTGTACACAACCCAGCAGTGTGGGGGTGGGGTGGGAAAAGCGGCAGCTCCTTCCATGGATACAAGATGTTGGCTGGATGGGCCACTGTGGAAGCCTTGAGGAAAAAAAAAACATACTTTTGGCTTCGAATTTAAAGCACATTAAAATGTTCTTGGATTTTCTAGGTCGCTCAGTACATTAAGTTTGAAATGCCGGTGCTGGACAGTTTTGTTGAAAAATTAAAAGAAGAGGAAGAAAGAGAAATAATCAAACTGACCATGAAGTAAGCAGCACTGAAACAGCCAGTCATGAGTCCTGAACATCAGGGCAGGTCTGCAAGGCACAGCACCAGTGCCAGCTGGGAGATCTCTCTCCTCCATGGGCACCGGTGCCCTGGCATGGGAAGGCCTGCTAACCCTGGCTCTCTGGCATCGCCCTCTGGCCCCCTGCTTGGTATTGCCACCACGCTGGGGTGACAGCTTGCCAAAATGGTGGGACGCAGCCCTGATCACCCATCCAGCCTTGGCATCCTCACCAGCATAGGCATGAGCTGCAGAACACCTGGCAGGAGACTCAGGCAGGAACCCAGGTGGGCGCTGGGTCAAGCTTCTGAGGTCTGCTAGTGATGCAGCTCCAAGGAGCAGGCATGCTGAGGCAGACTTGGCCTGGTCGGGGCCTTTCGTCCTAGTGGGAATTCTGAGCCTTCTCCAAAGTGGCAGATGTTGGAACTCCCAGCCTCAGCTGATGTTTTCAGGTGCAGAGGGCCAGTTCAATGAAAAGGTGAGCAGGTGTCACCTGTCAGCTCCTGGGGACACCACGCCAGGGTCCGGCTGCATGAGGTTAGCCAGGCTGTAGTCCCACTGGCGTCTCCCCCTCAGCAAAGTGAACTGTGGTGCAAGACTTGTGGAGGGCACCCCACCCAGGGCTGGCAGGGAGGCAGCTAGGAAGGAAAGGGCAGGAGCTCACTGAGAGGGCCTGGGGTGGATGGGAAAAGGATGGATATTAGCTTCTGGTTGAATGGCCCACGGAAAGCCACATCCTCCACAGGCTCCTGTCTGTGCAGCCAGACCCCACACAGACAGAGGAGACCAAAGTCAGAGGGAATCTTCCACTCTGCAATCGGTCCTGACCCTGTAGGATTTGAGAGCTGAAAGGGATCTGGGGGTCAACTAGTGGGTCCACTTAACGTACAGAGTGGACACTGAGACCCAGCACAAGGAAGGTTGCCGCACAGCTTACGGCATAATCTGGGCTGAAACATGGGCTTCCTGATCTCTGCCCTATTGCCCTGTCCACTCCACTGTACTGTTGTCTGTATTAGAGTCTTTGCAATAGAAATGACAACACTCCGCTTTGATGCTCTGTGCAGTCCGCAGCCCGGTTTCACTGCTCCTCATGAGACGCAGGCCACAGCCTTCCCTCTCTCTGGCAGAGGAGAGATGAGGCTGCTGCAGGGATCTCCTGAGCTGCCCATCTGCAGGTCCCTCGCTCTGCTGCCCACCTCCCTGCCCTGTCCAGCCTCAGTGAGTCCTCTTGGCGATGTCTCCCTCCAGGTTCCAAGCCCTGCGTCTGACGATGCTGCAGCGCCTGGAGCAGCTGGTGGAGGCCAAGTAACTGGCCAACACCTGCCTCTTCCAAAGTCCCCAGCAGTGGCAGGTGCACACTGAGCCCTGGTGGCTGGCCCCGGCTGGTCACATTGACTGATGGCCACTGCCTGAGGAATGGAGCGCCTGTGCGTCTACCTGTCTGAAGCCTGAGCACCATGATTCCCACAGCCAGCTCTTGGCTCCAAGATGAGCACCCACAGGAAGCCGACCGAGGCCTGTGGGGCTAGGAACTTGCTGGGTCAGATCTGTGTGGCCAGCCCTGTCCACACCATGCCTTTCCTGCACTGGAGAGCAGTGCTTGCCCAGCCCCTGCGGCTTTAGCTTCATCCGCTTGCTCAGTGCCTGTCCCGGAGACCCTGTGGATCCACAAGCCCCTGTCCTCTTCCTTCATGTGAGATTCTTGTCTGCCCTCATATCATGCTGCCCCGCAGGAACACTGTTGGGAAAAGCAGGGCCTGCCAGCAGGTATGAGATCTAGCCTGCTTTCAGCCGTCACCTCACCACAGCGTCCCCGGCTTCTAAGCCTCCAATGTCACCCTGTGAGTCTGGCACAGCTCAGCCCCAGCACAGAGGTAAGACCAGGAATAAGGCCACAAGTATCTCACTTTCTCTGCAGAAATCAGTCTTTACTTCATCAGAGAGACCTAAAGGGATTCTTAGAAGGAACTTGCTGCAAGAAACACGGCCATTCAGTCACATTGACGAGGGTCCACATGGCATTGAGAGGTTGCTGCCCTGTGTGGATGAGAGTCCACGGCTGCCCAGCAGCAGCTCCGGAAGGCAGTGTTCAGCCCCATCACCACTGTCCAGTGGGTGCCTGTGTACCTCTTGCCTTTTCTGGGCTTGTGTTTCTCTCTTCTAGTGGGTGGGGATGACTTTCAATACTTCCCCGGAAGGAAGAATGATAAGGAGAAATGTCTGTTTTGAGGAAAGGGCTTTGAATTCCCTAGGGCCAGATACTGAACAATTTGTGTTTGTGACTGATGGAGAATTTCAGGAATGAATGAGACAGCCTTTGCGAAACTATGCAACAGTTTACATCAGTCATGTGAAGTATTTGTCTAAAACAGAGCAAACTGAAGACCAAATTAGTCTCCTGTTGAGGTCCATGGATGGCAGATTTAAAGGGAAGAACCACAAAGGCTTGCAAAGATAGGAGAAGCTCCATCTCTAAAGCATGTAGAAGCTCCTTACAGGTGCCCATCAAGAGCAGAGCTTGGAAGCCACCATGCTGTGCGGAACTGTTTGTCAGGGCAAATGTCACAGCAGGATTTCCCCAACCCAGCTCCATCATCACAGACACAGCTGCAGGGGAGGCCTGTTCACTGTTTTGGCGACTCTGCTCCTTTGGCAGCATAGGTCCTTAGGTGCTCAATAAAGGCGTGCTGTATTGAACTGAAGAAGTGAGAACCAAGCTTTCTTTTTTTTTTTTCTTTCTCTGCGTCTCCCCTGACTCCCTGCTCTAACTTCTGAAACTCTTATCCTAAACGATATGTGGCAGAAGAGCCACAACTCGCTGCTCTAGGAGCCGACATGACTCCTTCATTTCTGTGCATGCCCTGAGGAATAGGGTGGTGCCTGAGGAGAAGCTGCCATGGAACATGCAGGTGTCACTGGTGGGAGCCTACAGTGACCTGGATGATGAGCAATAGAGTCACCCTGAGCCACAGAATCTTAGCATCAGGAGGGCCCCAAGAATCTTCCAGGCCAGGGGCTCAGGTGGGATGGAAGCAGGGCCTAGGAGAGGGTACAAAACAAATCAAACAGGAGCTCCCAGGTAACTGCACTCCCAAGCTATTATTTACAACCTCAGGTGTAGGACAGCTCCTGTCCCATTGTTCAGCTGTAACTGAGTGACTGCCTTGTGCCAGGCCTGTGCTCAGCCCTGGAAGCACAAAGATGGAGCCAGTCTGTCCTGTGTCTAGGGGTCTCCTCATCAGGAGAAGGCGGCCAGACACTGGGAGGGTCAGGAGATAGCTGAGCAGTGAGCCGGCAAAGCTTCTGGGAGTGAGGTGAGGCCGAGGCAGAGTTGGCTAAGAAGTGCATGTGGTGTCACAGGTCAAGATGCACCTGCCAGCCAGGAGCAGGCCAGGTCCTGGCACACAGGAAGCCAGTGGAGCAGGAGACCCTCTCTAAGCACCAGCCTGTTTGGTTGGTTGGTTTGCTTTTGCAAGTTATTACAATATTACTTAAGACCTTTTTGGATAAGTGTCACTTTTAAGGTAGGTGTTATCAATCTAATTTCTGAACATTACGGGTCAGAAAAATCACTAGCAAGTGGCTCAGAAAAACGGAAAAGGTACACTTCTGCAATCAGCTGAGGAGTTCACACCTTTTTTTTTTTAATCAACATGATACTTGCTGTTCAGAGGCAATCTGAAAAGCTGCAAATTCAGCTCACCTCAACCCCATAATTTCAAAGGTTAGAGGCTGGTCTCTGTGGTTTCCTACTGGTTCCTGTGGGGAGCTCCCGCTTTCTTTCTCCATAGGGCTTAGGGTATTTCTCATATGCCCTGTTGGCTACCTAGTGTCTCAGGTAATAAACATATTCGAAGATAAAGCAAAGATCCCTATGGGAGAGTGTTGTCTCCTAAAATAGGACTGTCTTGCCAGCACAGGCCTCAAGAACCAGAGAGAATAATAAACAGCACAGTATGAAATCAGCATGATTGCAAAAGGACTGGACTCAGGAAAAACAAGTTTGTTTGCCCAGAACAAATTACCAGAAAGGATCAAAAACATCTTGTTTTTCCTCGGTGATAACCACATGCTACCTGCTTGGAATGTTTACCAGAAAATGGAATAAGACCTTCCCACTGGCAAAATAGAGCCAGGGTTCACCCAGGATACATCTGGCCCCTTAGTCCCATGGAAACAAGGCCCAAAGCATATCCAGTCTGACCAGATGATTTGTGGAGGAACCAGCAGTGCAAAATGTGTCCCTGGTGTGTAGAACGCAGGTGCCTTGCAGCTGCGGAGGGGCAGCAGGATATCCTTGCCAGGTGCAGTGGTGGGCAGCAGCCCCCTGCCCTCAGTTCCTCAGTGGTGATCAGACAGGAAGCTTGGTCGATCAGAGCCAAGCAACTGAGTATAAAAACAGCCAGATGCATGGGCTATATTTAGGCCCTGAGAGCTGCAATTGTTTGGGGTCAGGCTAGCTGCTCACATGCCCTGCCCGAGACTCATGTTGTGCAGGGTGGGGCCCTGTGCCCTCCTGGTCAACTTTTAACAGAGATGTTTTCTCAGACCTAGGAATGGGAATTCCCAGGATTTTCTTTCCCAGAGAGTCCAAAGGAAACAGAAAGCCAAGTCTCAGGCTTGGTGGAAAGAACCATTGTTCAGGATCCCTGGGCTGAGAGTTCTTGGTGGGAGACGGACCACTCTAATTACTGCACATGAGCCACACCTATAACTGCCTTTCTGGCACTTGAACTGGGGATCCATGTTGCCAAACACAGACCCAAGGCAGCAGTGGTCCCGGCCGAGACAGCGTATGTGTGTGTGTGTGTGTGTGTGTGTGTGTGTGTGTAAGCCAGTGGGGTGCAGGGGACAAAGACACAGGAAAATGAAACTGTCTTGCCAGGACTTTGCTCACCCTAGAAGACTCTTCTTCCTAGAATGAACCCTTCAAATACCACTGGGCTCAGGGGCACACTGGCCCCTGCTGGGTAGTTTCCCAGAGATGCCCCGGCCACTAAAGGATCTGGCCTCTCTTGGGCCAGAATCCCAGAAATATGTGCAGAACGATTCCCAGACTGTGTCCACCCCCTGGCTCCCACGCCCTTGTTCCCTTTCTCCCTTGTGTTTTGTAAATATCATGTGTGACCATTTTCAATAATTTGCATAAAAATTGCCTAGAATTCCATTTGGGAGATACACTGTTATAGAAAGGTTAATAGGCTCTGGAGCCAGACTTTCTGATTTCAAAGTCTGTCTTTGCCACTTATAAATGTGCATGACCTTGGGCGAGTTTCTTGCCTCAATTTTCTTATCTGTGAAATGGGGATTCTGTGTGTAAGAAAACAAACTCAAAGTGCTTTCTACTATTCTTTCACTCAGCAGTAATAATCACAAAAGACTTCTGTGATCAAATGGGGCGAGGGGTTCTCCCCACACACCAACCAAATAATAATTTCTGCAGAGACACCAGCTGGGTGTCCTCTAATTCAGTTTTGACACTATCTACTTGAAGATAGCATCACTTCTCATAGGTTGAGGGCTCAGTCCCATAAGGTGATCTCCACCCGTCCCATTAGTTACAAGCCCTGGCCTCTGGAACTTGTGAACTACCCACTTTAAGTTCGGATTCCTATGACCCCCTCCTTGGGTTAATTTGCAAGAGTGTTCACAGAACTCAGCGAAACACATTTCCTGGTTTATTACAAATGATATTCCAAAGGATACAGAAAAAGAAATGCATAGAGTGAGGTATGAAGAAAAGGGTGCAGAGCTTCCATGCCCCTTCCCCTTTGCACCCCCCAACCCCAGGTGTCACCCTCCAGTAACATCCATGTGTTCAAGTATCCAGAAGCTCTCTGAACCCAGTCCTTTTGGGGCTTTTATGGAGACTTCGTAACATAGGCATGATTGATTAATTCATCAGCCATTGGCAATCCACTTCACCTTCAGTTGCCCTCCTCCCCAGATGTTGATAGGGTAGAGCTGAAATTGCCATCCTTTTATTCCTGCCGTGGTCTTTGCAGTGACCAGCCCCATCCTGAAGCTACCCAGGGGCTGCCAGGCATCAGTCAACTCATTAGCATATAAAACGACATCACTTTGGAGATTCTAAGAATTTTAGAAGTTGTATGTCAGGAAATGGGTAGAAGACCAACTATTTATTTCACAATATCACAGGATAATAACAATTCCTATCTCTTAAGGTTGGTGGAGGTACATTAGTCAACTTTAATGCAATAACAACACCAAGAATCTCAGTGTTACAAGAGCATTTGTTTCTCTAACGTTACGTGGGACTGTTGTAGCTACGTGTGAGCTTCTGTGGCTCTGGTCCATGTGTCTTATCATCCTGGGTCCTAGACTAAAGGGACAGCCCCTACTTGGCACATGCTATTCTCAAGGCAGAGGGAAAGAGCAGAGTCCTGGCAGAAACACAATGACTCGAAGCTTCTTCTGGGATGTGGTGTACCCCTTGCATCCAGTCACATGCAGTCGGCCAATTGAAATCAGTGGTCAAGTCAACATCAGTGGGATGGGCATGTGGTTCACAAGGAGGCACCGGAGTCACACCACAAAGTGCAGGGACCAAAACCAGAGAAGGTGGAGCAAACTCTCAGGAACAATCATGCCTCAGGAATCTCACGTGAGATCCTCAAATGCTGCAAACAGTGTGCGGCACACAATAAGCACTCAGTAAGTGTTAACTATTATTATATTAATAGCTAAGCTGAAGGCATAAAACCCTACCTGCTTTCTCTCCTTGTCTTTTTCCCATTCTCCTTTACCCTCCTCTCCCTCATATCTTTCTCCGGCTCTCCGTCCTCTTCATCCTTACTGCCTAGGACTCTGTCCACACTTAGAGACACACACCCCTTTATTTCCTGACTTTTATTTCTCTCTTTTTAAAAAATCCATCCTTGTTTACCTGATGCTTTAGTCGACATACCTCTGGGCCTTCTATGGCTGGCCCAGTTTTCAGGTATAGGAAAAAGGGATAATCCACTTTTATGTAGACAAGAAAAGAGTTAGTTTTAATTAGTAACTACCTTACTAACAAAATGGTTTTTTAAAATTATCTTTTTATTTTAGTGTACATAGAGCAGACACTCCCAACAGGTCACGTTTGCTCCTGACACTTTTCCTAAACCATTTCTACATATCTGGCCATTGCTCTTTACCCCCAAACCCTCCAACCACCAGCATCAACCAACTTATAATAATTTAATAATAAAAGTAACAGCAATGACTGTCATTTCTTCTGTGTTATACATTGTGCTAAGTGCCTTACATTATCTCATTTAATCACTGCAATAGTCCAGATACTCTCTAGATTGTGAGTGGAGCTTCTTTGTCCAGACCTCATTCAGCTTTGTGCTTTGCCATATGCAGAGACAGCTCCCTACAGAGCAGAAAGCCTCAGCTTAAGAGAATGAACCTGTGACTTAGTTTAGCCTCCACCAACAACCCACTGTATTACTTCAGGCAGGTCAGCCTCTCTTGCCTCAGTTTACTGATTTGCAAGACAGATATGATCATCTGTGCTTCATGATACTATGGTGAAGATGAATAACCAGAAGACAAGATGTAAAAGCACTTTGTAAACAATAAGGCATCTTATAAATTCATTCATTCAACAAATATTTACTGAGCGCCTGTTCCCTGCTGAGCACTGTTATTAGCATTGCAGACACAATAAAGAACTAAAGAGACAGATCATGACAGGCATCGTG